TTAGACACTTTGGACACTGCCCCGCTGGGCTGCAGATCTACGCTCCAACAACAGTCAACTTCCTTCTACCTATTCTTTATTACTTCTGTAGAGAATAAACTAGTCCTTCCACCCGGTTTCTCACTTCCCATACAGAGCTGTACCTGAAGATCACAGGAGCAAGGGTTCTACCTATTAACTTAATCCACCGCGATAGGATCATTGTACAAAAATACAGGGGTGTGGTCAAGGAAATGTTGACCCCAGTATTCAACATAAAGTCATCTCTCATACGGACGAGTACCTACTGCCATCTCTAGACCGAATGTATTTGCAGAAAAATATTTTCAAATATCTATTTTGCATCGTGCGTTAGGCGCGTGATGGTCGGAAGAAGCATTTACGGGAAGAAAACGGGATTGAGGCAGTACGATGACTTTAAGGAACTGCGGTCCCAGCGTCAAACGCGAAATGTACCCTGCCGTTTGACCGGCAAAACTACAGACTTATGCATGAGGATGTATTTTAAAAAAGCTATATTAACGTCTTGGTGTGCATAGGAAAATTTCTTCGCAGGGTGATTTTTTCCCGAAGTGAGTCAGCCAGCAGAAGAGGTTCATGATCAGAATGGACTATGAGATACCTACTTATATTATTTGAGTACGCTTAATTTAGTTGATGCTGCCCATGGAGCAGTTACAGAGCTCACTCGTTAGTGTTGGACTTCTGGCCAACAAGGTCGCGGGTGCGAGCCTCGGGGAGTACGACGTCCGGGTTTGGACATGGTTGACTTGCTGATGACGGCTAATTAGCTAGAAATGGTCATACTAGTCTTCCTCGATAAGGTATTTCTGCCAACCAGTACAGTTATGACGTCGAGCTGAAGACTGGGATATGACGATATGTGATTGCGTAACACAGGCTGGAATCAGTTTTTTGGGAATAAGTTACCACTGCCCTCTGTCCGCTTACGGTTTCTAATTCCCAGTGTATTCAATCACTCGTTCGCGTTTTTAAGGTTTAAAGTTTGCTTTTTAAATAACGGAATAATTGGGGATATGGCAGATTTGCTTAATTTGCGTTGATCCAATTGTAACAAAAACTTGCCGAACGCCTCGAGTTTTTTCACAATTGGGTCAACTCAAATTAAGCAAAT